CTGATTGTTAGCTCTTTTTCACTTGCTTTCATCCTGATGGTATTGTTCTCATTGTATTGGAAACTAAAGAGAGGCACAAAGAGAATCTGGAAAGACATATCAATAATGAGCAATCTTCTTAACTATCCTCCTTTCAGGGATATACAGGTCTGGAAAAATACAGTGGCAATTAAAGTAAAGCTCCCTTATGGGTAAGTGAATTGAAAAAGATTGGTGTTAAGTATGTATGTGGGTATCTTTCTGTGTGTATGCATGCGTGTGTGCGTGTGGCTCATGCGCACACGCATGTTTATAGAACTTGGTAGAAATGGAAATGCTATTGGTCTGGATAGGGACTCAGGTGGCTGCGGTGGGGGAATATAAATGACCTTAAAAAACATAAGCTGAAAAAGATGGTCCCCACACATTTAATTATTCCATAATCTGCACTTCTAATCCTCACCTTTAGAACCAGGGCATTATATCCCGACTTTAGCATTTAGTAATTCCTGTTCTCCTTCAAAGCCTCATCTGTGTGTATGAATGGGCGTGAGAGAGACAAATCAGAGGTTTTTTTTCTGAGCCCTGTGTCCTTCTAGCAGAGGAGAAAGTCCTTTCAAGAACATCTTTTTTGTTTTTTTTTTTAAACCTGGTCGTTTAAATTTTACTGTTAAGTAATCTCATGATAAATAATAGGTATTCACTAGAAAAAAATTAAAATGATTTACCATTGTTTAATTCTGCTAGCCAAGCCGCACTTGCCCTGAAGAGCTGCATAATTTATTCAAATGACCTGGGGCTTTTGTTTTTTATTTTATTTTTTTTTTTAAAGATTTTATTTATTTATTTGACAGAGAGAGATCACAAGCAGGCAGAGAGAGGAGGAAGCAGGCTCCCTGCCGAGCAGAGAGCCCGATGCGGGGCTCGATCCCAGGACCCTGAGATCATGACCTGAGCCGAAGGCAGTGGCTTAACCCACTGAGCCACCCAGGCGCCCGACCTGGGGCTTTTAAAGTCAATCTTCCAGCAGAAAAATTACCCCCTGTCCCCAGGAGAGTGAATTTTTTTGCATTGTACGGCTTTCCTATGACTGACATTTATTTGACTCGCAAGTGTATTTACATTGTCGGCTTAACTCGGAGTTCTTTGCCGAATCAATAATATGCTGTATTTCTTGCTTCAAGTGGTGTCAATATTATTGTTATTTCTTTAAAAAAAAAAAAAAACTTTTTCCCTTCGTTCCCTGCAGTTACAAAGTTTTTCTTTGAGTTGTGAAAATTTTTGCTTCTAAAATTATGAGGAAGCCGAGTAAATGTTCTTTTAATCTTCTGGGAAATGTGTGCCTCTTTAAACTTTATTTACGTCAGAACTTACTGTAATGAAGGACAAAAGCTCTAGACAAGGTCCCCTGCTCCTCGGGGGTGTTCAAGGCTAGGTCTCCCAGAGGCGAGCCTGCAGTTTGTTCTCAAAAGTTTATAGCTTACCTCCTGGCTGTTTCTTTGCAACCGGCCCGAGAGGGGGCTAGAAATAGAGCAGGGTGGGAATCTGACCCATCGTGACCACTCAGGGGGCTCTGGCCTGGAAAATTCCCCTGTATGTGGCAAAAACAAACATTAGAAATGGAGGGAGAAACTAGGCTTAAACAAAGAGTGAAACCAGTTCTTGTTGCATCTCTCCTGCCGATAACCATATGTGCCCGCTCCTTCATTTCCCAGACATCAGCGCTCCATCATCTGGACAGAACCTCCACCTGAGTCTGTCCAGAGCATAAGAAAAAAATATTTTTAAATGTGACGCAGTGGTATGTATGTATTTTAGGAGCATTTCCTCAATGTGCAAACTCAGTCTAACCGAAAGAATCAACAAGTGTGGTGGTGTGCAAACCTTCGAATCCTACTATATTTTTCAGGCAAGGGTTGACCTCTTCTTTCCGGTCCCACGTGCCACAGGACTGACTGCAATATGGGGAATGAAATTAAGGAAAATCTGTTCTCCCACATAACAATCCTTCAAACTCTTTCCCCCTCCTTTAGTGTTTTTGTGACAGCGTGTGAATGATCGGCTGTGGCTTTTTGTAAATGTCACATGCTTTCCTTTTGCCAGGACAAAGAACGAGAGGAAAGGGCCAGCGAGGGCTTCTTCCGTTAACGTGGAGGTTAAGAGCATGGACTCTGTCATGAGATTGTGTCCGTTAAAATTCAGATGTCCTCCATTTAATAGCTAGCTGACCTCAGGGAAGTCATTTATCCTCAGTGAGCCCTAGCTTCCCGATTTGGATAATGGAAGTAATAGCAAGAATTTATAATGGCATCTACCATACGGGAAGCATGATTGCAGGCACCTTCAATGTATTAGCTCATTTAATTTTCAAAACTCTGTGATGTAGGTAATTAACATCATCCCCATTTCTCAGATGAGAAAAATAGACATGGAGAAGGAAAGGAACTTGGCCAAGGTCACAGGCTAAGGAAGTGGGTACAGCTGAGCTTGTGGAGTCTGGCATTTGTATCCTGAAGGCCATGTACAGGCCAGTACATTTCATTGGCTCTCTCTGAAATTACTGAACACTCAGCACGGTGTTTGGCACTTAGAGTTTATTGTTGGCTGTTAGTCTCACTGCCGTCCCCAGTTCTGATCTTTCTTTTGTCACACTTGCTCCTATGGGACTGATCTATAAGGTTGGTCACCCCCATCAAAAAAAAGAAAATAAGAAAGAAAGAAAAACCAACAGTGATCTGAGCTGTGGTGGTTGCCTGATCCTTCTTCACCTTTGTGGGCTTTGTGTTTAAATCTCAAACAGGACAGGGACCTATGAAAGGAGGCACTATTTGCTAATACCTCTTTTCGAAGACATGAAAATTATATCCCTCCTATCACCACCTCTCCAGCCAACAAAAATTGCTTGAAGCAAGGGAGAAGTTTTAGAAAGTTCATACTTCGAGTAAAGTCGCTACTGTACTTTAACGAATAGAGGTAAAAATCTCAAAAAGTAATGAAGGTGAAAACAGACATTGGTGGACAAAGGTCGCTGCTACTAGAATAAATTCTCTATTCTCCACTCCTTAACTTGCCTTAGAATGTCAGTATCTGGGAAAAAGAAAGAGAAAATTCTGCAAATAATTATATTCTTCTTTTAAAGTAAGCCACTGATTTCAAAATTCTCTAACACATTTGTGGAAACTTCATTTTTTTTGTTTGAGATTTATTTGAATGAGCTGTTATGATTGGAGACAGTGAGAATTTCAGATTAATGTTTTGCAGCCAAAAAAAAAAAAAAAAAAAAAAAAACCTCTCTGGAAAGCTGGCAAGTGTTCATAAGTCAGCCCTAGAATTATGTAGGTTGAAGGCTCCCAGTGGACAGACCGAACATATAAGAAGGAAACCAGAGATCTAGTGCTATTACGTCCCTGAGTCTAAGGGAACGAATAAGCACAGAATTAAAAGCATTCTTCAGCCTGAATTTTTAAGGTAGGTCTGCACAATTTCTATGTACTGTATTTGGAGAGTAGAACATACATTAAGTGAAAGTGCTTTTTTACGGATGAACTTTCCCTTTTTTCCTGTATTTTCACACTGTATTTTACAAAACTCCTAAATTCTTTCACTGCTGTTTCTCTTACAGGAGTGCGCTTAGGAACTGGGCAAGCTGATTTATGATAACTAAGTTTTAAACTCCAACGACCAGTAAGTCTTCGAGCGGGTTTATTTGAGATTCTTTCATGATACTTTGTTAGGTCAAGATGATGAGACAATGCACTTTAGACAAAAATGATAACTTTGCTGTTTATTAGGAGATTCTTTGGTGATTGTGCTGTTCATTGAGTCGTTTCTATGTATTTTGAAACTATCAAAAGTAATAGTCTTCCCTTTACTGTGCTTATTTCCAGCTAATTTTCTTTTGTCTTAAAGTAATGCTGCTCCTAAAAACCAAACCAAACCAAACCAAACCAAACCCAGTATCACAAAAACCTGCGCCCTGATTATGACATTTGAGAGCCATAGAGCACTGTTGCTATTTTGTTGTGTTAAAAGTGAAATGATAGCAAAGGAAAATGATACAATTAGCTCATGATTCATCATTGACGTTCAATTCTTATTTCACAGCAATCAAAACTATTTCTGCTTGACTCTAAATCAGATTTGGCTATTTTTTTTCTTGTTCTTTTCCTAATTGAAAAAGAAAATGGATTTCCTTCTAAGCAGATTAAACATCTAGATTGAAAACTAGTGGTCTCTATTAAAATGCGAACAGGGGGCTTTTAGAAATATGTACCTACTCCAGAGCTCCCTGCTAATGATGTTATTATTGTGGAAACAATGGAAAAATAGAAGTAAAGGAATTCGGGTTAAATTAGTAATAAACCAGCCCTACCCCCCATCTCAATATGTTCCTTTTGCATATGCTCTTGCAGTCTTTTGTGCAGTTACTTATTTTTTCCATAGCTTATGTTACTTATATTTTCCATAGCTGTAATGATTTGTACATAATTAGTTACTTGAAATAAGGCATTTCTCTATGCAACAACGGACAGCAATGTGGTTTCTAGAAAGTATGCAGCCTGAGAGATGTGCTGAGGTGTTTTTGAAATAGTAACTTTTCTTCTTTCTTGACTCCTTCTCATTTGTTTCCCCTATTTCTTACCCACGCGAAACTTTTGAACTATTGATTTTCTTGAAGGCTTTTGAAAATATGATAGAAACGATGGGCAAAAGAGAGTTTTGTCTAGCATTTTCAGTCCCTGAGGCTGAAAGGTCTTACCTGCTTAGTACTGTTGAGGAAATTCCCTTTTCTTCTTCAAGAAGCAAAATCCTCTCCTATTTCACAAGGCATGGCTGTGCTTCCCAGTGTTTTCCTATAATCACTCACCTTTTCCTTTTTTTTTTTTTTTGCTTTCAACAATTAGCATTTCTAAATGCTAATGATTTCATAATGTCCTACACTCTGTATGTATTCTGGGAGTTCCATTTTTTTTTTAATTTTCACAGAAGGCATAAGAAGTGGGAGCCACCGAGCTTGCAGTATGAAGAACAACGTCACCCTTGCCACCATCAGCAAAAACATTACCAACAGCCTTCACTTCGGACTCGTGAACTTCATCGGCAATGAGTCGACCTTTAACTGTTCGCACAAGCCGTCAGATAAGCATTTAGATGCAATTCCTATCCTCTACTATATTATTTTTGTGATTGGATTTCTTGTCAATACTATTGTGGTTACGCTGTTCTGTTGTCAAAAGGGTCCCAAAAAGGTGTCCAGCATTTACATCTTCAACCTGGCTGTGGCTGACTTGCTGCTGTTGGCCACTCTTCCTCTCTGGGCCACCTATTACTCTTACAGATATGACTGGCTCTTTGGACCTGTGATGTGCAAAGTGTTTGGTTCTTTCCTGACCCTGAACATGTTTGCAAGCATTTTTTTTATCACCTGCATGAGCGTTGATAGGTACCAGTCTGTCATCTATCCCTTTCTGTCTCAGAGAAGAAATCCCTGGCAAGCGTCTTATATTGTTCCCCTTGTTTGGTGTATGGCCTGTCTGTCCTCATTGCCAACATTCTATTTCCGAGATGTCCGAACCATTGAGTATTTGGGAGTGAATGCCTGCATTATGGCCTTCCCCCCCGAGAAATATGCCCAATGGTCAGCTGGGATTGCCTTAATGAAAAATATCCTTGGTTTTATTATCCCTTTAATATTCATAGCCACATGCTATTTCGGAATCAGAAAACACTTACTGAAGACCAATAGCTATGGGAAGAACAGAATAACTCGTGACCAGGTCCTGAAGATGGCAGCTGCTGTTGTCCTCGCGTTCATCATCTGTTGGCTCCCCTTCCACGTTCTGACCTTCCTGGATGCTCTGGCCTGGATGGGTGTCATTAATAGCTGTGAAGTTATAGCAGTCATTGACCTGGCACTTCCTTTTGCCATCCTCCTGGGATTCACCAACAGCTGCATTAATCCCTTTCTGTATTGTTTTGTTGGTAACCGGTTCCAACAGAAGCTCCGCCGTGTGTTTAGGGTTCCAATTACTTGGCTCCAAGGCAAGCGAGAGAGTGTGTCGTGCCGAAAAAACAGCTCCCTTAGAGAAATGGAGACCTTTGTGTCTTAAACACCAGAGTGGAATGCGTGTTCGCAACACGGCTACTTGGTTCGAGGGCCCCCTGAATGATCGTTCAATGCCTTTAGTCAAGGAGTAAGTTTCTCCCTTCATGTAATCTCTTCTCACTCTTCTAGAACAGGAAGCCAAATGGACCTCAAGTGTCACCCAGTGACTTTCAGGAATGGCCTGTTTCCTTCAGTTTCTGGGTAACAATAGTGTCATTGGGAGGACAGAACCATGACCTCGAAGTCACTCAGGAGTTCTCTCCAATGATAAGTAATAGCAAATTGTGACTGGTGATTTGGGGTTTCAGATTTCTCCTTGACAGACGCTGAAGTTGGTTGTTGTTGTTGTTGGTTTTTATATTCATTTTCATCAGGCTTTCCTCTCGAACTGAAGCCAGGTTTTTTTTTTTAACTCATTGCATTATTTACAAGACATCATGCTAAGAAACATGAGCATTTCTAAGTGAAGTACACTACAGTAGATTATTCAGTCTCTAAACATATGCCTTTTACTTTAAAAATACTATAAATAATAACCATTTACATTTTATTTGAGCACAGGTTGATATTTAACATATAGCTACATATCGAGTAGAGCTAGGAATGTAGATTAGATCACCTGTACTCCTGCATTTATCTTATTTTTACGGTTAGAGGAAGTAGAATATATAATAACATAGATTTGAGATTAACAAATATTTGAGTGTTCACTAAACTCTGAATATATGCTCTTTAGAACTTTCTATCCATTTTAACTATTGTTTGAAGATTTCTATGTTCTCTGACAATTTTTTGAAGACAATAACTAAACACCGTGTCGTGTTATAAAATGTAAAGGTCACTTTTTACATCCTTGACCTTTTGGTGCTTTGATATATAGGAAGTTGACTCGTCTTTTATTATTGATGCTTTGGTTCTGGGTGGCTTCCCGAAATATCTGGAGGGCTTCTTTAACTCATTAGTTTGTAATCAACCTTTACCAGGCATGGGAAAAAGTTATGCCAGAATGGGGTTTTGATACCCAGGGAGACAAAGATATCTAGCAAATGATAAGTTTGGTGTCCCACACAAAAACCCACCTGTCAGGGCAGTGCGATGTGTCTTTGAAGGTAGAGGCCATGGGGTGCTCTGAACATACACCTACGGCTTCTGTTTCTTCCAGTATAGGGTTGTGTGACACTCTCTTAAATCAATCTCTGGTCCATGGATCTCCTTTTCCACACTATTAGAACTCCTGTCAGAGAAGTACCTAAAACTGACTGTTACCTACAGTTTACTTAAGAGTATGAGTCCTAATTTTAGAAGTTAGACGTTTCATTCAGTACCAGCCCCACATTATACCAGGTTGTCTAGCACCTTTCTAGACCAACACTGACCTCTGAGGTAGACACAGAGTTTCAAAGACTTCATGTGTCTGCCAGGTTCCAGGGCTATAGAGTAAAGCGTTCTCTCACCCCACTTTCTGGGAAATGCCTACTTTCATGTAATCTATTATTATCAACAAAATAAATAGCTAAATGTGTAACCGACTCTAGCTTCATATTTTAAATAATTTTGTAAAACATTACATATAAATAAAAGCTTTAATCGGAAGATGATATGTACTTACTTTTTGTTTTAAAAAATATTTATTTATTTGAGAAGGAGAGAGTGGGGAGGAGGGCCAGAGGGAGAGGGAGAAAATCCCAAGCAGACTCCACACTGAGCATGGAGCCCGATGCGGGTCTCAATCTCACAACCCTGAGATCATGACCTGAGCTGAAATCAAGAGCTGGATACTTCACTGACTGAGCCACCTAGGTGCCTTGTACTTCTCTCTCTCTCTCTTTTTTTTTATTTTGACTACTCCCAAGTATAGATTCTCACCTTTTATTGTATCTGTATCGTCCTTACAGTCCCTACTGATACTTTTTCATCTCGGTCCCCATCATTCCTTATCTGGTTTCTTCATGCACTCTTCTAAGTCTCTGTCTCTTGAGTCTTCAACCATAATTTCTTATTAATTATGAAAAGGAAGTCCAGATTGTCTATCAGCAAGATCATAAGAGATCTGATCCTTCCTAGCCTCCCAGGCTTTTTCTCTCTCTGCCATCTCTCTCTTACACTCTGTGTTCAAGCATCCCCAAAGGACTTACTGCTTTTTTAAGGCCTAATGTTCTTTCATGCCGTCTGCTTTTGTTCCCACAACTCTGTCTTCCTGAACACCCCTCCAATCATTCCCACCCCAAGGGTCTTTCATTTAACTGATGAACTCCTACTCAGCCTTCATCATTGAGCTCATGTCAATTCCTTTACCACAATAGTATTTACTATACTAATTATAATACAACCCCTCTCCCTCCCCTGGCAGCTCCCTCAATAAAGAGAATTCTCTAGTTCTTGGGATGTTAAGCCTGGCTTCCACTTCTATAGGAAGTGACCAGTATTGAGCCTGAAGTGGTTCTCTGAGGTTTAGACTTTTCTGGGGCTAAGAAGAAATTTCATTCAAAAAGGTGCGGTGTGAATATGGGAACTCTGACTGTAGAAATGTCCAAAGGTATACATGTCCTCTTTTCTCTTTGCAAATGTAAATTTCAGGTAAGTTTCTCAGACAGCAAATGAAATTATTCTTCTCATTTGGTTCTATCTCCAGGTTTTATCTGATCCCCTTCCTTTTTCTATGGGCCCTCCTTTATGTACCTCACCTGCACAATGCCCAAGAGGCTCTTAATAATAACAATAGCTCCTATTAGGTGAGCATTATATGCTCTATACTACGATACATATTTTTTATGAATTATCCCATTTTATTCCCACAAAGACTCGGTCATTCTCATTTTACAAACGAGGACACTGAGGCACAAATGAGTCCCTACAAATCTCGAAATTTGGCTCTGACAGCTGATCTGAGTAATCCCAACAGCAGTATTTAGTGGTTTAAATATGGATCTTAAACTACCAAGCAGATATTTCAGAGATGGTCTTGCACAATCCTTAACCCTTCCCTCCAAACCTCATTATTTGCACATCCCTGACCACAGCAGTCCAAGAACTGTGGGCAGGTGGCATATTTGCACCTGTGGAGAAAAGGAGAGGAGGCAGATGTATGGGGCTTTCTCCCTTATTCTCCACTGCCCTTTTCTTGTGCTCCATGTTGTACAGAATTGCATGAAGTAACTGCTACCCCCTGCTGCCCCCTTTACCCCATACACAAAGCAAAACAGTCACCTCAAACATTTCTTTTGAGCAACAAAAAATAATTCAGCTCTGTGAAATGAGATTATATGGGATTCCCAGAGAAATTAATCTCTTGCAATTTGCAGAAGGAATCTGCAATTTTATTATGGGACAGGAAGTATTAATTCTTTCTATATTTTGTGTCCCTAAATTAATTCTACTAAACAGAATGTCTTGGAAAAATTCCCCTTTTTTCCTGCTCTTTTGAGGTCTATATCTAAATGAGAGACATTCTGAGGGAAAGCACACTGTATTTTGACTTTTTTTCTTTTTACCCCATAAGGACCCTAGAATGGGAAACTGTTTGGTGGTCTCACATATCAACAAAAGAAAAATCCAAAACTGACAAGTTGAATTAACCACATGTGTTGACTGAAACAAGACAGGGTTGAGGTAGTAAGGAAAGTGTAGAATTTAATTTTTTGTTAATTACTAGATAAACTGTATCAGTAATAATGACTCATATAAAATAACAGAACCTCACATGCCATCACTAAAAATAATCACTTCCCCTGCAAAAGGCCAGTGGCATATAGCTGAGTTGACTAGCCTTCTACACATTCATGCTCACTTGCACAAACATACCTATGAAGGGTTAACAACCTCAGAAAGAAAATTCTTCTGGGATGAGAGAATTCTTTTCAAAATGAGAAATAATTGGCATGTATTTCTTGCTAATAATCAGTGTTTTTCATTATTGAAAAACGTACCTATATAGGTTAAAAATTAGCCATAGAGATAATCACTGTTAGTAGCATGGGTTAAGATTACAGCTATACACATAGACACAGATATATACGTGCTTGGTATATATTATTATAATATATTAATTTATTGTATCACATATAATATACATGCATATGTACTATTTATTTTTATCTCTTTATTGGTATCCATATTTCTCTCTCTTTTCATCTATTATTATAAGGACCTATTTAGCCAGAGGCTTCCATCAAGGTTAAACAATAACCTTGTTGTTTAACCCTTAAACTGTCCCTGCTCCCCTTCCTCCAGGGGACTTACTTAAAAACAAGTCCCGGAAACCAGCCCCAGGTAACAAAGCCCAGATACAAGGGTGGGTCAGGCCAGGTGGAGACACGATCAGTGGGGGGTTGCATACTGTCTCCCTAGCTACCAAGGAGTATGGGCCCCGCCCTTTGGGAGCCTTTTGGGCACCAATTCTTTTTTTTTTTTTTTAAGATTTTTATTTATTTATTTGATAGACAGAGAGAGATCACAAGTAGGCGGAGAGGCAGGCAGGGAGAGACGGGGAAACAGGTTCCCTGCTGAGCAGAGAGCCCGATATGGGGCTTGATCCCAGGACCCTGAGATCATGACCTGAGCTGAAGGCAGAGGCTTAACCCACTGAGCCACCCAGGCGCCCCCTGGGTGCCAATTCTAACCAAGGTGATAGGCTAGGTCAAATGTCTACTATAGGGTAAATTGTAATTCAATTGGTCACTTATGTGTGACCTAACATGACTGTGGAGTTTCCTCTGTGTGTTACAATGTCATTGGCCACCCGTGCGTGGCCAGGCCCAACCACATGGTCTTTGCCCTTAAAAGCTAGTCTGTGAAACAGAGAAAGGTTGCCCTCTCTTGTAAGAGGTGTGTCCCTGAACATTCGGTTTGATTCTTGATGCTTGGCGCGAAATAAAGCTTTGCTTGACCTTCGCTTTATATCAGTTTCGCTCCTTTAATCACAGACCCATTATTGGGGGACATATCATTATCTATTGGATATAGCCTTCATCACCCCATGGTACATTTCTTTTACTATTTAAAATA